CTGAACGAGGAAGATGGATCAATGAGATCAAGGTCTAGGGCAGAGGTTCTCAACCTTCCTAATGCCACAACCCTTTAAGACAGTTCCTCATGTTCGGTGACCCCCCACCATAAAATTATTTTCATTCTATTTCATCACTGTCAATTTGCTACCGTTATGAAACCAGGCAACCCTTTCACAGGGGTCGCGACCCACAGGTTGAGAACCGCTGGTCTAGGGCCAAGGTTAACAAACAGTTTCCGTAAAGTGCCTGATAGTAAATATTTTTGGCTTTGCCAGGCATCCGATCTGAGGAAACGAGTCATCTAGGTCATTGTAACACAGAAGTAGCCTTAGGCAATTAGGTTATGAAGGCATGCGGCCCTGTTCTGAACAAACTCTACTGACAGACACCGACCTTTGAATCTCAGATCATTTGCACCTATCAAGCCATCCTATTCTTCACTTGATTCTTGTTGACTGAAAAATGCAAAACTCAACTGGAAGGTCAGCGGCTCAAAACCATCAGCGGCCCCACAGGAGAAAGAGGAGGCTTTCTACTTCTGCAGAGGTTTCTTCTTAGAAGAGGCCATCTCTATCATATACGGTCGCTCTGTGAGTGGCATTGGCTTGATAACAGGGAGAGTAATCAGCGTACCAAGTATTTTCAACTATAAAATTACTCTAAAAACATAGAAGTCTAAGACAGAAATGCGAAACTTGTTTAAAAAATGTTTGTTCATACAAAATCCGATTTTTAGCTTGCAGTTTGTACAATAAGTACTATACCAAAACAATAGGGCAGGTTTGGTCCAATGGTTGAGCCCTGGTCTGGTCAGGGAAAATGCAGATGAGGCCCATGGGATTTCCATGCGGTATCTGCATACTCACTGCCTCCCTTCACAGATGAGCAAGCCCAGGCTCACTCGTCAACGGTCAGTTGGAATACTGCCTCCTCTTTGAAGCCTTCCAAGTGGCCGCAGCCAAGGACAATAATAACTCCGTCAGTTGCTTCCCACACGATAAGCACAATATTAAAATTTGTCCTGACATACTTCAGACAGACCAAAAGCTAGAGTACACATGCCTTGGTCCTCCCCACGTAGCGTAGGAAAGAAAGCATTGCCCAAACAGTAAAAAACAAACATCCCACAAAACTCATTGCTGTTGAGTTGATTGCAATTCCTGGCAGCCCCGTGTGTGAGTTACTGTGTCACACTGAGCTCCGGGCACTTCAACTGTAATCCTGTCGGAGAAGCCCTGGTGGTTATGCGATAGGCTGCTAACCCCAAAGTCAGCAGTTCAAAACCACCAGCCACTCCTCAGGAGACAGGGGCTTTCAACTCCCCTGAAGAGTGACCGTCTTGGAAACGCACAAGGGGCAGTTCTACCCTGTCCTATAGGGTCACTACGAGTCAGCATGGACTCGATGGACAGCAGGTTGCTGGGCCTTTCTCCCATGATGCTGCTAGGTGGCTAATCTTTTCAGTTAGTAGCAGAGCACCGGCATTTATCCCACCGAGGACTTTTATCAAATCACAGCCTCCTTTCCTCTCCCGCTGTCCTGAGCCTGGAAACGCTTTGCCACTCTGCTCCTGCCCACAGGTTTGAGTCAGTACGCAGGGAACAGAATCTGTTTGCATGTGCAAGTGTTAGTTCGTTCAAATTCAATGCTCACAGTCTTGTCAAGAGGATTCCCCCAGAGATTAGTCTCCCAGAGCATAATTTGCCCAAGATGTTCATCTAGGCAAGAATCTAAGATGACGTAGAATTTGCTTCTGAGTCCAATTTAATCATCGTTCCGATACTCCAGCGTCCCAAAGCTGTGGCGCCCGATCCCTTACCACCCTATTAATTATCAAGAGGCTAAGTGTTGGGCTGCTAACCACAAGTTTGGCAGTTCAAACTCATCTGCCACTACTGGAAAACTGAAGCTGTCGGCTCACCTTAAGACTGTGGTCTAAGAAACCTCCAAGAAGCAGTTCTAAGTTCTACTCTATCTTACAGGGTCAGAGTCAGAGTGGATTCTATGACAAAAGGCTCCCTTTCCACACTAGATTTAAAAGAAGAAGAAAAAATCCAAACACCACCCCCCACCCCTCCCCACCCCCCCCACCCCCGCTATCAAGTTGATTGCAACTCATAGCAACATTACAGTGTTTTTTTCCTCTAAATCGTCACAGGAGCTGTCAGACATCATCTTCTCTGGCAGACCGGAGGTGGATTTGAACTGCTAACCTTATGTTGAGTGGCCTGAAGTATAACCTACAGTGCCACAAGGGCCCATGAGACGAATGTTTTCTTTTTAAAAAGTTTTATTTTAAAAAATCATTTTATTGGGGGTTCGTACAACTCATCATAGTCCAGCCATCCATCCACTGTGTCAAGCACATTTATATATTTGTTGCCATCATCATTCTCAACATTTGCTTTCTACTTGAGCTCATTTCCGCCCCCCCCCTCACGAACCCTTGATCATTTATCCTATTACTATTTTGTCATGTCTTACCCTCATCTTTTCACTGTCCATGCACTCCCTAATACCTTGCACCTGAGAGGCTCCTTGCCAATCACCCCCCTGACCGCCTCGAGAGGGTGGGAAGGCTACCGGTCAGAAGCTGCTCAAGAGCAGGGCTTGCCGGATTTCATTAGAAGTTCAGAGCAACTTTTAGTCTTTCAAGTGTCAGCTTTACTGGAAAGGATGGAGTACGCAACCCTCCAACGAGTACAAGAGGTTGGGGCTAGAGAGGGTGCACGGAGAAACGGGGAACCTCAGGAAATCAGCCCCACAGAAGCAAGCAATCCTTCCTTCCTTCCAGGCAGCCACATGGGAGCTGAGCCAGCGGGCGGGATCTAGGCCAAGCTGAAGACCCAACAAACACCAGAACCCAGTGAGAAAGCGAGGGGCAGTGTGCCCTAGCCCCCCCAGCACCCTGCTAAGAGCACGGGTGGGCCTGTGTCCAAAGGGTGTGTGCGCACCGAGGAAAGGAGAGCAGGGTGACCCAGGGAGGGTGGAGTGTTAGAAATAAGGAACTTTGTTTTACTAATACTGAACTCTGCTGAGAGAGGCACACCCTCCCATGTGCTCTGGGCCTATCGGGAAACCACGCGAACTAAGTGGTGTGGAGAGCTCCCTGCTTAGATCAACTCAGAAAGCAGGCCGGGGCTTAAAACACTGCAGCAAAAAAAAACAACAAAAACCGCACTTAAAAGACCAGTTCACTGAGCATCCGCCAGTCAGAAAGCCAAGGCTGGGCTGACAGCTCACCTTTGTCAAGCACACTCGAGGGGAAATCCCGGTCATCCACTCGTAAGGGTGAACCCTCACATCAAGGTGAAGGTAGCATGCCCGGGGAGCTGTAATACAGCGTCATGTTCACGAAGGGAGCACCCAAAATGTGAAGACAAAAAGCCTGAATTAGGTCTGGGTCCGTAGTCTCTATAGGAGCCCTGGTGGCACAATGGGTTACTTGGGCTGCTAATAGAAAGGGGTAGGTGTTCAGCACCACCAGTGGCTTTCAGTGAAGTTACCACCTGGGGAACACACAGGCACAGCCCCACCCAGTCGTCTCCATCAACTCCACGGCGAATTCTCTAAAGACAGTTCCAGTCAATGGAACTTCCTGTGCTCTGTCCGCATCTGCCCTGCCCAGCTAAGTGCCTGCTGGACACCAGCGGCGTGGCCAGGAAGGCGAAACGCCGCACTTGCGGCCGGTCATGCTACTCCAGAATTCCATCAGCAAACAGCTGAGATTTGTTGGAGCACCCCGCTGCCCAATCTCGTCTGCGCGATGCCAACATGCACTTCCCGAGGTGGCTCTCCCAGGAAGCCAGATTTGAGCCTCCGGAAGTCCCTGGTCTCCTAGCAGGAGGCCTGTTATTTCTCAGGTGCTCAAGCCCTGTCCATTGGGGCATGTCTCTGCATGGATCACACTTAGAAGTCATTAGGTTAAGACAAAGGTTTTTATTCAAAAAACGCCAAGTATAAAAAAAAAAAAATAACAATAAGATCTCTTTTTATTCCCCTGTACAGTATTTCACTCAGATAAAACCAGCAGGCTACATGCTGCTCAGAACACAGCCCCCCGAGAGGATCCGGAAGGCACGCCATCCGGAAGTGTTATCATAGATCGGTCCTATGTACAAAGATCAGCAGTGCCCCCTTCCCCGTCACCCACAGAACCCAGACCCACTTGGGTAAGTGGGTGAGGGGGGCCCCACGGTTAAGTCAGGGGAGCTACAGCAGCTTGTTCCGCCTGACTCCCATCACCCCACAAACAGGCAAGCGTCGCAGCCCTCCCCAGAAGGTCCCCAAGTCAGAAGAGGAAAGGAGGAGTAGAGGAAGAACCAGGGCAGCAGCCGTGGAAGCTTGGCGCGAGAGGGAGAAGAGGGAACCAAATAAATAAATAAATAAATACATAGCGTTGACCTCTAGGTTAAGAATGAGCATCTTTCATAAAAAGGTGGGGGGGGCGGGGAACAAAACAAAAGGTGAAATAATTTAAAGGCAAAATCAAAACAAAAAAGGGAAGGAAAAAAAAAGATCAACAACAATCCTTTGTACACTACCATGCCAACTGTACATACATTTACAGTTTTTCTGTTCACTTGCATTGTTTGTGCATTTGTGTGTGTGTGAGGTCTTAGCTTTTGAAAGAGTTTAAGTAAAAACCAACCAAAAAAAAAAATCCCCAATAAAGGAAGACCAGTCCACTCGGAGTTTTACTTAAAAGAGGCAGAAAAACAGGCAGGTGGCTCAGCGCTTTGGCCCTGTGGCCTCTCCACGGCACCTTTCGTCTGTGGGGGGAGGGGGAGAGAAAAACGGTGGACCAAACCCGGGCAGATTCCGGAGAAGCAGCAGGTAAAAGAGGCCAAGTTCAAGTATTTGTCCCAGCACAGCCGGAGTCCCCACAGAAGGCACTCAGAAGAGTCGGAAGAGGTGACAGGGACTGAAAATGGTGCTAGTCCTATATCCCATCCCAACCTGTCCCCAGCCCACCCCCCACCCGACCCATCTCGGCATCAGCAGAACTCGTGATGAAGGAACAGGCCAGTCCCATGGCAGGGTTTCTCAACGCCCCCACCCCCACCCCCCGGCCTTCGCAGAAGTCCGGCAATGCCGGGACAGAATGAGGGGAGCGCACATCTAGGGGAGCTGAGACGTAGGCCCCCTGGAGTGGAGTCTCTTCCTCCCCGTGTGGAGACTGCCTCCAGGGGCCCTGGGCTCTGGAATGAGTTGGAAATATTGTTCCTGTATCAAGTCCTGTCCTGCTTGGTGAGACGTGTCACTGGTACTTAGGAAGCTTCCCCTCCTGGACCATCCGACAGGGAGGGAGGACCTGCCAGAAGAGCTGTTATTTGCTGGGCTCCGGCGTCAGGCTGTGGAGATGGATCTCGGCCGTTTCCTGGGGCAGGAGAACATCTTGCATCCATGGGTGGTTCTGGATGTCTTCGAAGGAGGGCCGATCTGATGGTCTCAGGGCCAAACACCACTTAATGAGATGCTGACACTCTGCAGAGAGCAAGAGGAGGAATTACTCAGCTGGTTTCGCCACCCCCCACCTCTCTCGATTTTGGCTCCCAGTGGGGCTGCTCATGAGTCTGGGGTCCGGAGGAAACCACATTCCCTCTAGGATGTCAGCTGTGTGTATTTATTCTTCAGTGGAAGGTATTCACTGACATCTGGATCTTCTAGCCTACTCTAAGTGAAAGAAACAAACAGTCCCCCCCTTCCCCTCCCCCCTTGAAAACCTGTGGTTCCCAACATGAATAGCCTTTCCCACGAGTGACACCCACTCGCCAGCCACAGGAGCTTGATGACAAGGGATTGCGAGGAGACACCACCGCGCTGGGTGGGGTGACTCAACTCACCTACTGACTAACAAGCACCAACACCACATGCAATGAGGTCAACTAGAAGCACACTTTCTGGAGAGCGACTGCCTGAAAGACGGCAGTGGCCAAAGAGCCCCCCACCTTTCCCTCCCTGGGAAAAATGAAGCCAGGAACTGGGAAGATATCAAGAGAGATTCAGAGAAACTAAGCTGTTTGGTTTTGTTTTAAAGTTTCTCAGACACGGTCTCCCTCTGGATTCCGAGGAAGGCTTTAAAGCGAACTCCAGCGCCAATCTCGAGGGGGCCAGCATGGTGGCTACCACTGGCCTGCGATTCGACTAAGCCTGGAGACCCAGGGTCCATCCCTATGGGAGTGCTCCAGAGTTCACCCCGCCCAGGAGGTACAGCCCCCCCCCAGGGGGGTCTTATAAGTTACCTGAAGAGACCCTCTGCCTGAAGAAGACCTGGCCCCTGATGATCTCCTCGTCATGCTCGAAGGGAATATCCCCACAGACCATGTCGTACAGCAGGATCCCCAGGGACCAGACAGCCGCCGACCTGCCGTGGTAGCGATGGTAGCGGATCCACTCCGGAGGGCTATACACTCGGGTCCCTGGGAGCAGAGGGAATAGCAAAAATAAACAAAGCAACCAGGTGGTATGGCAATTAAAACACCAAAGAAACCCCTCAGCCCCTCCTTCTTCAGGAAGGGGGTGAACGCTTGTTCCCCCCTGAGCTGCAAACCGGGATGAGTAGCTGCAACCCAAAACATTGTTCCCTACCCACCTCTCCTCTGGGCCAAACCAACTGAAAAACTGAAATGCTTTGCAAAATGCTCCAAGCCACCAACAAGGCTGCCCCAAGCCTCCGGCAAAAAGCGGCAACACAGTAAGGGGACGTCTGCCCCAGATTGTCCTCCACACCGATCCCGCCCCTGCCCAGGAACCTGCGTGAGATTCTCCTCTGGGATCCAATCCGATCCGAGACGTGGTGCAACATCAAAAAGTCAGGGCGCCCTTTGGGAGGCCTCCCTCCCCTCCCCGCCCCCTCCCCCAGGGCTGGCGGGCACCGCACCCTTTCCTCCCCAGGCGGGGACGATGACGGGGCTGGGCGGCTGGCTCCAGACCACGTGACTCCTGTTTACAAACTTTAGGTTGTAAAAAAAAAAGACACAAAGTTGCCAAGCCGCGGGTGCTCGCTAGAGGGCAGCAAAGGCCCGAAGGGAGAAACACCACCCTGGGAGGAGCGGCCAGCCATTAACTGTTCAATACAAAAAATGCAGCCCGGCCCAGCGTCCTCCAAGGGCAAATAAACACAAACCACAAGCCCGAGTCACAAGTTCTGAAAGGCGGTCGTTTGTTAGGTTAAAGGCGCTCCGAGGATGACCCACCCTCCTCGGCTTTGATCTCCGGCTCCTCGTTCCTTCTCGGCTCAAAGAACCCGCTCCAAGCCCCTCCCTGGGGTAGGTTTTCATCCTCTCGTTGGAGACACCCAACTAATTCTCGACCCAACAACAGATCTTATTTCACAACATTCATTCCCGGCTCCGTCACCCCACGACACAGAAAGAGCGGGGGAGCGGCCGAAACGAAATAAAGTGAAACTACTGTTGCAGTCGCGTATTCCCTTCCTGAATCAGCGGCGGCGGGTGGCTGCACAGTCTTTTTTAAAGACTACCTGATGGAGAACGCGCTCCCTTACCCCGAAAACACAACAAAAACGACCAACGCGGCGTCACGGTTTCCGCCTCTCCCGCGCTCCCCCTCCCACGCTGTGAGTGGCGGGCGGGGAAACTGGGTCAGACTTCAAAAATCTGGGCTACAGCCGGCAGTCCGTAACCTCGTATGCATCGGGAGCGCTGGGAATCGACTGGATTCCACTTAAAAAAAACACCCCCAAACAATCAAATCACGTCACGCCGGAAGCCTCGCCGGCTCGGGTGGCCTGAAATCCCCCTGACTCCGCTGGGGAGCGCTCCCCGCCCCACCCCGCCGGGCGCCGGGCGCCAGGCGGCCCGGTGACCTTTACAAAAGGCCGGAGGAGGCGACGGAGCCTGGCCGAGCGCGGCCTGCGGGCCCGGCCGAGCCCCCTGGGCAGCCCCCTCCCCGGGGGCCTGGCTCACCATCGAAGTCCGTGTAGACCGTGTCCTTGAGCAGCGCCCCCGACCCGAAGTCGATGAGCTTGAGCTCGCCGCGGCTGAGGTCGATGAGAATGTTCTCGTCCTTGATGTCCCGGTGGAGCACCCCGCAGCTGTGGCAGTGCCGCACGGCCTCCAGCACCTGCCAGAAGAAGCTGCGGGCCAGCTCCTCCTGCAGGGCGCCCCTCTCCGTGATGAAGTCGAAGAGGTCCTGCACCGGCTCGGGCCTCTCCAGGATCAGCACGAAACTGTCGGGCCTCTCGAACCAGTCCAGGAGGCGGATGACGCCGGGGAAGCCCGAGCTCACCTTCTTCAGCAGTACCACTTCCATGGGCACCCGCGTGCCATTGGGCTGCAGGGGCGAGGGGGGTGCGTTGAGGCCGCGGGCGGCGGGTGGCGGGACCTCTCCACCCCCCCCCACGGGGGTCGCTCCCTCCCAGACACTCACCAGCTCGCCCCAATCGGAAATCCGGTCCTTCTCCACGTGCTTGATGGCCACCTAAAAAGCCCAGAGAGCCCCAGTGAGGTCCCCCTGGCAGGGGCCAAAGGAAACCCGAGCGCCCCCCACCCGGCGGCGGGCCCCCACCCCCCACTACGGCGGGGCACCCACTCACCGGCAAGTTGTCGGCGACGCGAATGCCGGAGTAGACCGAGCCGAAGCCTCCGCTGCCCAACAGCGGGCCCACCTGATACTGCGACTCCAGGGGCTCCTTCTCCTTGCCTAGGTGGGGGAGAGGCACGGGGGGCGGGGGGCTCAGTGCCGAGCCGCGCGGACCAGGACCCACCCCGGGGGTCCGGCTGAGCCCACCACCGCCACCACCCCCACCCCCGGCCCGGGGAAGCACTCACCAGGCGCCAGCTTGGTGGCGTGCAGGTCGTTGCAGGGCGCGGCGCGCAGGTGGGCAAGCGAGTTGATCTTAGACAAGAGCATCCCAACCTCCGGGGCGTCGGCGCAGGGTCCGTGACGGGCGGAGCTGCGGCTGCGGCTGCGGCTGGGGCTGCGCTGGCTGATGGTGGTGGTAGGCGGCGGAGAGCGGAGACAGCCGCTGCGGGAAGCCCGCAGGGACTTCGGAGGGTGCCACTACGGGGGTGGGTCGCAGAGGGGACCGGGTGGCCGATTGGAAAGAGGCGTGCGGGTGAACTAAGCCCAGGTGCGCGGTGAGCGCGGCGGCCGAGGCCCCCGCCAGGCCCTCCGGGGCCGCCCCCGGCTCCCCCACGCCGGCGTGCAGGATGTCCGCGATGCAGAAGGAGGGCTTCTTGACGGCGGCGGGGTCCAGGGGGAAGGCGCAGCCTCCCGGGCCGGCCGACGAACAGTAAGCGGCCGACCAGACGCTGAAGTTCGAGGCGTAGAAGGGGGCCAGCCC